GGGCCTTATAGTACCTTAGTCTAAGTCCCGTCACATGAGCTTAAACAGAATTAGCGAGGTGAGTGTACAATATTGCAGAATCAATGAACAAATCAAAGTCACCCACGTGTTGCAGGAATTAACAGGACGTTGTTTATCAATCCATGAGCATTTTTATCTTGAGACAATGAATAGTTGAATCGGTCATTTATCATTATTGTTATGATACTGTCTAAACTATTGGGGCAATTTATCTTAACATACAAAACAAGTAATTGCTATTAAATTCCTGTTGTGTTATAATATGTCTTGTCAAATATGTCACATTATTGCTATTCATCTGTGGTGCCAAAATGCAAAAGAATAAATAAACAATCCACGTATGGCAATTGTGATGTATTATCAATACAGACATGCAATAAGAAATAAATGATATTAAAATGGTTCGTGTCAACATGGAATTAACTGAATGTCAATATTGTACTATGTATCATCCCCGTGATTGCATGTGTTGTTGCTGCATCACCTGGGTAACAGGCGGGCAGAGAAGCATAGGTACAAGTCTAAAGATATATTGATACACAATTATGTTTGTATAAACATGCATTAACTAGAATCTTATTACCTTACTACTGTTGAAGGTATATCAAATTTACTTTTCAGGGGCGGATACAGAATCTTTTGAAAAACAATTGGCCAAATCAGCCTGTATCGCTCATCTATTATTCATCTCACATCTGAAATTAATATGGCAGAATATGAAGGCGAGAAAAACACATTCAGTCAGTTTAAGTGCTTTTTAATTTAGCACATTAAATCGAAAGTTTGGATGAAGTGGTCGAAATTACAACTACTATCTCATTGAATGGCGTCCGAGGCAACTGACGTGGGCACTCGTCTTTATAGGTAACCATGGATGTTACAAGGACGTTAAATCCTAAACTAACTTAATTTCCCCAAATATCGTCTTCTTTCAGTGTTACCGTAGACGTCGTACTCTGATATTGTAAGACCTAGCAGTCGTGTTAAAAAGCACAGTCCTGACCTCATCCATTGTTCTCAGTGAGAGCGATTTTTAAGTACCTTTGCATATCGCCAATGGAAAAATACCAACGTACTAAATATAAAGTGTATAGTAAGGTACGGAATTCGTACACAAACAAAAGTATGTGCTCTCGTCTTTAATCCGTCGTAGAAACGACAAATATTTGTCGATTCGTAAGAGGTGTAGCTATAGCATTGATCTCTACAACCGAACATAGTAGATGACAATCCAACTTTTCGGTTCTCAAAAAGGGGAACGACACCAATAAACCTGTTTATATATTCATGACAGGACCCTTTTAATGATATTTTAGCATGCAATTTTATAAGTTGTTGGGTTTTCCTGTGACGATTTGACGAGCGTAGTAAAACAAGGTGTGAAAAAATGTTCAGATGTAGAGTATCCTACGAGTAATCGCCATTAGACATGCGGCCCATCACTTCAACTTTGGGTTCTTTAAAATGGGGGTTAAAGACAAACGGTTGTGCAGGTACATCTACGTGTACACTAACAATATTTCCATTTTCTTTAAATGGGTTCCTATGAACCACCTTTTGGTGAAACAGGATAAGGTTATTTTCTTAAACTTGTGTGGATATGTTTTTGATTGATATTTCAAAATGGCCACCATGGCCTTTCCATATTCTTCATAAATGGCTATTGAGCGTTTGGCTACACCGAGTTCTAATAATGTTCTAAAATTTTGCGAAAAAGTGTTGTTACTTTTGAAGTACATGCAAAATCCAAGATTGTCAAAAGACCTCTGATTGAACGAGACATTCCCAATTTACATAGGCAGCTTTTTCGACGAACAAAAACACCTAAGGGTCAGAAAGGTTAAATACTCATACCAAACTGTCCTTCTGAAAAAGACTTGTCCAACAAATTCAGTGATAACATTTCGAATATAATCAGTACGATCAGGAAAAATATTGGCGAATGGAACTCTACTGCTGGCAATGATATATCTGCTAAAATCAAATTTGATGGAGAACCATTGGCAAAGCTCTCACCAACAACCAGGACGAGTTGCACAATATCATCATGACCTCGCAATCTAAATCCTGTGAACTGGATCCGTTGCCCACAGACTTACTAAAGCAATGTCTTGAAGCACTGCTTCATTTAATTAACTCAAGCATGAACAAATAATTGAGTCAAAGATTCCATTGTGTTTCAAGAAGGCTCATGTTAGAAAACTGCTGAAGAAGCATGGAATGCACAAGGAGGAGTTGAAGAACTACAGTCCATTATCAAATCTACCTTTCCTGTGTAAGATCTTGAAGAATGTTGTGTCCCGGCGGTAAGGGGTTCTTCTCCATGCAAACCGTCTCCATGGCACCCCGCAATCAGCCTTCCGCACGGGTGCTGGGCCTGCTGGACCTGTCAGCTACACTTGATGTCATCGCGCATACTTTCCTTGAGAACTCTTACGGAGTGACTGTTGAAGCACTATGCTGGATGAAGTCTTAATTGAGTGAAGGACGTAAATGTGTTGCCATACATTTAAGATCTACCACCTCAGCGACATGACAAAAGACTAGATTTCGGGATGCCTCAAGGGTCGCAGTTCGGACCACGAAATTATTGTCTATATTCAAAATCGATCGGAGATTTGTCGTCGCCATAGCCTTCGCTATCATTGTTATGCTGACGGCTCGCAAATTTACATGGTCATCAGACCACAGGACAGTTTGGATACCATATAAATAAATCTGGAAGCTTGAACGCCAACATGCTAAAGCTTAATCAGGAAAAGACGAGCTTAATCAGGAAAATACGGAACTTAAAATCTTTTCCCTTAAGTGTAAGCAAACAATGGCTCTCCAGCTCAAGGTCAGTGCCAGAACTATTGAGACTGTCTCAATTGTTAAAAACCTAGGGGTATACTTTGATAGTTCACTGAACATGGAGAAACAAGTGAACGTTATTGCCGAATCTGTTATCAGATCAGGAACATCGGCTGTATCCGGCAGTTTATAACTGCAGATACTTGCATGATTTGAAGCAATCACTTGGTTCGTATCTGTTGGACTATGATAATGCCCTGCCCTATGGTACCCGGTATACCCGACAAACTGGTCGTCTGCAGAGGGTCCAGGACACTGCAGCATGTCTGGCTACTCGTTTTCATTGGTTATCTGTCCGATACAGGTCATACATCCAAAATGTACACATACAAGGCACATAACACAACAGCTCCCAGTATTAGCCGTCAAGATTACTTATCAATGCATTAGGAATCAGAATCCTTGTTGTGTGTCTCGTACCGTTACATATGAAAACCGGTGCTTTGGAAGGGTTTCGGGCGTAGTGTGGAATAGGTTACCATCTGCTACCAGGAAGTAAACAAGAGGCCCATTGTGCCTGTATCACTCAACTGTTTCTTTTGTTACATGAAACTGACATATATGTAACTTAAGACCAAATTTGGTAACTAGAACACAAGACGATTTAACTCCCCATAAACGGTTCTGAAGAAGTTGTTGTTTGAAATTTGAATTTTAAAGCTTTTATCCCACATTGACATTTGACTCCCGACTTGCACTTCAAAAAGTTGACCTTTGACCTCATTACTGTAATAAGAAAACAATTCACACAGCCGGTCTACATAACATACCCAAATGTCATGACTCTAGTCCAAATGGTTCTTGGGATTTTATTTTTATTTATTTTTTTACATATTTGATCCATGTGACCTTGAAAGTAGGTCAAGGTCATTGTAATGAGGAAATTTAATAGCACTCCATCCCAGGTACCTACTGGCCAAATATCATGACCCTGGGCCGTATGGAACTTGAGAAGATTGTTAAAGCTTTTAACCGAAGTTGTTATTTGACCCCCGACTAGCACTTAAAGTTGACCTTTGACCTCATTACTGTAATAAAGAAAATAATTTACACATCTAGTCTACATAACATACCAAAGTATCATGACTAGTCCGAATGGTTCTTAGGATATTGTTGTTTGAAGTTTTTAATATATTTGACACCAGTGACCTTGAAAGTAGGTCAAGATCATTTTTATGAAAAAAACTTTATAGCATACCATCCCAGGTAACCTACTGGCCAAATATCATAAACCTGGGCCTTATGGAACTTGAGAAGAAGATTGTTAAAGCTTATAACAACACTTGGTCAGGACCATCTCAGGATCAATTCAGGCAAGTTTCAGCTCAATCCCACTGATGGAACTTGAGAATTAGTTTTAAATAGGTGTTGTTTAGGTAAACCATGATTGCGCAATCATGTTACAAAATGGCCACCATGGCTGCCATGTTGAAGTTTTGACGGGGCTGAAAAATAACAACACTTTGTCGGCTTCCTTTCCTATAACATCCCCAACAATTTTTAGCTAAACGGCACCAGTTTCAGCTCAATCCCACTGGTGGAACTTGAGAAGTAGTTTAAAATGTTGAAAGTTTACGGACGGCGCACAGCGGACGACGATTGACGTAGCACGATGACTATAGGTCATCCTGACCAAATATTTATATGCATATGGAGATAAATGTCTTGTTACTTAAGGAGCTGCTGATTTGTATGCCTTTTTATCTACTATTTTTTAACTGTCACTGTAGGAATACCATTATTCATTTGCTGAAAAGCACCTTAGATAAATTTTGCATTTATGTAGGTTTATATAAATGTTGTTTACTATGGTTATTATTATCATTATTCATTTCTTTAGGGACAACCATAGAAAAATTGTTTCTGCAATCTTTCAAAATTTCAATCAAAATAGGGTTAATATTTCTCTCTGTTGATAATTTTTAGCAAGTGAGTTGAGGCTATGATCCCATTTGGTCTGATTAAATTTGAGATCTTCCCCTGAAAGTATGTCCCTTCAGCTTTGAAATATTTCCAGTTTAGAGATACCGTAAAAAAATTACATGGGTTTTTTACGGTAGTTTTCAAATATCTCAGTTGTATCAAATGAATCATCTTTGAACATGAAACAAATTTACAAAACAGGCTATTTTTTATATTGTTTATTCACAACATCACCCAATATTTACAAAATCCCATGTACACTTAAATGATTATGGTCTACACAGTTGTTACATTATCCACAAAAGTCAGGAGCTGTAATTTCGTTCATGTATTCATCATAAGTAATACCAGCTCCATGCTTTAATTTGTCATAATATTTCTTCTGTATAAATTTCCGTCCAGAATAACCACAAACTGCCACTTTATCTGCATCCTGCAAAAGAGAAATAATACAAGATTACAGAAATCTTTAAGCCTTGAAGTAGTTTCCCTTATATAAGTCAGACGAAGCAGCCAAAAGGAGTTTACCTGGCTTACAGTAAATCCCCCTGTCAAGAATATCATATGTTCTGCAGCCCATAAATTGAGGTAGTGATATTTGGCTAAATGATATGAATGAATGGCCTTTTAAACTTTTAAGATCAGAATAGGAAAATACCTTACAATCTTCCAACAAAGATTCATAAGGTGTGGAGTAAATATGGAAGTATTTAGCCACAGATCATTTTATTATATTTGACACTACCAGGGGTATATGTATTTTACTTTTTCAGTGAATTATTCTTATTTTGTTTGTCAATCAATCTGCATAGATTTAAACACTATATCAACACACACCTTCCTTTATTTTAGCAATATTTGCATCCATTTTTGGGGGTTTCTTTCCCAAGAGAAACCTGTGATTGTTAACTAAGTGAAGTTTCAATATGACATCATTTTAACATTCAATTACAAAAGCTAAGAAGGAAACAGTGACTTAACAATCCCTGGCCAACTGCCCTGTGGTTTTTCTATATATGCAGTTACCTCCCCTTAACTTCTGTTTGGATGTAACTATGAATGTCTTGGGCAGGACCCTTCTGTTGGCCTGGAAGTTCAATTAGTTAGAGCTACAGTTAAGTAGGTTGAAGTTCAGGGTTCGAATCTGGGTCTAGCCCCGCATTGTTTTTTTAACACTCAGAACAATGTTGTTGATGATATTTTGTTTATTCCATCTTTATCATTTCTTATAAAAGTTCTGCAATGTTAAGTTTCATTTCCAGAAATTATTTATCAAATCTATAGACATGCCAGAAAAAAACAGTTTCTAGTTCTTACAGTTGTGTGACTGCACAACACACCAAACATATATAGCGTGCGCACATCATGCTGACATCCGCCCACACCCATTTGCCCTGTTGTACACTTCTCTTCGCACAATTGTGCAATTTGGTACAATTGGTTGATCAATATAACAGAAGGAAAAAAATATGGAAGGCTGGTAGGAAATAAGGTACACTGTATAAAAACAATGGGTTAAGTTCCCAGGTAACAGAACAGGTAAGTAACATTTTGACTATTAACCTGAGTTTTACCTGGCCTGTGCCTGTGCCTGACACACAGAGCTGATATCTGATACTGTAGGAAAACACAACTGGATGTTAGGTATTTGTTAATTGCATTCGTTTGGGCCTATAGCTCCCTTTCACCTGGATTTTCACACCTTGACGAGTTACGTAAGTGCCCTTGGCAAGAAAAACTATGGTCCAAGTACATGTATCAAGTAGCTATGTTTACCAGTATATGGGACTGTATCTATGTGTCGATTTGGGTCGTTTAAAAAAACACCAAAAACACCATTTCTAAATGAAGGAAAATATAGACAGAAATACAATATACTTAAAAAATCAAGTTCATATGTTTAAACACGAAACTGTATATATTGTTGAGCTATTCCTCAATTAACACCAACCATGATCGAAATCCTCCCTAATTTTATTGTTTGCACATGGTGAGCGCACCACACATTGTGTTATGTTGTGTGATCTGACAACTGTAGGTTTTTTTTGGGCAGTTGTACAGGAATCTTTTAAAAAAAACATAGTCAGTTTATGATTTTTGTGTAAATTGAAAAGATAAAAAGAACATTTTTGAAAAACCACATAAAATTGATAAAGTGTAAAATACATAACTAACTAAATACTGATGTCATACAGGTCTACTGAAGCAAAACTTGCTACTGTTAGTTTTTAAAATTCTTCCTTATGTTTCCCAAAGCCTACATATATGTGCCAAAAATATATCATCAACCATTACCTTCAGCAAGTAAGCAGCACAGTTATAGCTACTGTAGGTGTCTTCATGTCTTCATGAGTGACATGCAACACATAACTGCAGTGCACCAATTAAATCATTAACCTAGGCTGCTTAGATATTCAGAAAAGTGGTTTAAAGGTTAAACATATTTGACCCATATGACCTTGTCGAATATGGGTGAAGGTAATTCATTTAAACAAACTTGATAGTCCTTTATCCTAGCATGCTGCTGACCAAATATCATCACCCTTAGAATTTTGGTTATTTAGAAGACATTGTTTAAAGTAAAAAGTTGCCACTTGATAGGGGCTGTGTCAGACGGACACCACATCACAGCATAATAAGCTCTCATGCACTGTTCAGGACTAGCTGTGGTGGCAAGCCTTCAGGCGAAGTGAGCTTAATATTTTATTTTTTAAAAAGTAACTTTCCTGAATAAATTAGTTTTTCATATCTACGATAGATTTTTGAAATTTGAGTGTTAGGACAGTGATTTTTCTAGATCACCAAAGATTTTAGTTTAATTAGACTTCACTTCATACAACATGTTTTTCACTTACCAGGTTAATGAAGACTCGGGGATGACCGAGCGCCCCACCACTGTTGCTCATCACCTGCCTATCGTTCACCACTACCACTGGTTCTGCAGCCACCAAATCTTGGGCAAAGCTCCTGTTCACCTTCAATACAGAACACCATTATTATTTTTCAGGTTTAATATATCCGCAAATTCTGAATTACAAATTACTTTTTTCAACTCTCATTTATAAATCAAAGAAGATTGTCGAACAAGGACTAGCACTGGTTCAATACAGATCAAGGACTTTACAACTTCCAGACTCAATTATGAAGTACCAAGACAGAAGACAATACACTTCCTACTCTGGTAGTTAAATTCTGAGACATAAAACTAACTCCACTCTATTGTATTCGTTAGGGTTGAAGAAGCTACTGGATGGCAGCTTAAAGTTACACAAGTAAGTACCTGTGTCATCTTAGGAGTCAGTGTATAAAGGTTTTAGTTCTTTTAACTTTTGTTATAAATACATGTTCAGATGTGGGATCGCACAACATTACACGATGTGCAGTGTGCGTGTGATGTGAGCATGATGGACAAGCTTTGTACGATGACAATCGTGGTTGGTGTAAATTGGGAAATGGCTTTTCAATATATACGGTTTCTTGTTTACACATATAAACTTGATTTTCAAGTATATTTCTATATTCTACTTTATCTTTTTACCTTAATTTTTTAAAATTTAGAAATTGTGTTTTCTGTGTTTTTTAAACGACCCAAATTGACACATGTAAAATAACACATATAGACACATTCCCCTATACAGGTAAACATAGCCTCTAGTTTGTACCTGTACCATAGTTTTCCCCACCCGGGGCACTTACGTAACTCGCCAAGGTGTGAAAATCCAGGTGAAGGGGAGCTATAGACCAAAATGAATGCAAATAACAACTACTTCACGTCCAGTTTTGTTTTCATATCCATCAGCTCTCTTTGTCAGGCACAGGCCAGGTAAAACTCAGGTCAATCATCAAAATGTTATTTACCTGTTCTGTTACCTGGGAGCTAATCCCATTCTTTACAGCCTAACAGTCAGTGTAATGCTGTGTAACATGTATTGTAAAATTGAACAAAATCTTAATTATTGTGATGAGTTTTTTTATACAGTGTACCTTATTTCCTACCAGCCTTCCATATTTTTTTCCTTCCGTTATATTGATCAACAAATTGTACCAAATTGCACAGTTGTTAGGAGAGAAGCGTACAGTTGTTAACGGTGTGGGTGGAGGTCAGCACGATGTGCGCATGCTATATATGTTTGGTGTGTTGTGCAGGCACAAAACTGTAAGTAATTTATATATACAGTGTTTTTTACTCCATACGAGCCTTCTGAATTTTTTTCATTCCATATTATTATTGATCAACCAATTGTACTACATCGCACATCTGTGCAAAGAGAAGCTCACAACGGGGTGAGCGATTGTTAAATCGCACAGATGTTTGAACCATGTCTGGACGATGTGCTGATGGTGTGTGCACGATGTATGCATGATGTGTGCACACACTATTTTTGGTGCTTTGTGCGCTCACACAACTGTATTACATTTTAACTTGCATGCCAAGACACACATGTTATAGAAAGGAAATCATGATAATTTACCAATAAAACTTGCACATTTCTCCAATTTATGAGTATATGACAATCTGTAATTAATCAGTTTTATTCACCAGGTAATTAAGTAAACCAATCATTATTAAATGAATCATAGTTATATGTAGAGACCTAATAATCCAGGTGTCTTACATTTTCTAGTACAATAATGGTTTTACGATGCATTAAAACAAATTTTACATACCAGTTTGTCTTTTCCATGGAAACGTGACCTTCTGTGGTCGTCAGTATCCCAACTCTAAAATTTGAAAAAAGCAGATTGCTATAAGAATATGTTTAATACCACAACAGCTTTTTGATTTTTGCATATTCAACATAAAACCTGTTTGTCCTGGCGTTTTCCGACAAATGAAATTCAAATTAATACATATTTGTCCTGGCGTTTTCCGACAAATGAAATTCAAATTAATACATAGAATCCTGTCATTGTCTGTGTGTATTTATATGAATAAGTGAGGATTTCATACCTTAACAACATAGCCTGTTTATGAATTTATGGTTAGTGAAGTACGTGCTTACTTCCAGCAAATGCTCTTGTGTAAGCCTACCCTTATGTGAGCCTACGAAGCAGTATGTAAAAAGAAATTCTTGAATCCCTGTGATTTCAAAGCATTTACGTCAATATCTTATCCAGTTGCATAATGGGACAGAAAAAGAGCAGAAGTTAAGAAGCTACATTTGCACACAAAACAAATAAAAAAAGCAGATGCACATGTGGAACATATATATGTACTTAGGATTTTTCTGATTTCATTTTTGCTCATTCGCTCATGAATGGGCTCATTCAGTTTGATGACCTACAACCTCCTGTTTAGAAGACTTGCTTTGGACCAGAGCCAAATGTGAAAATAAAGAGGGTTATCCAAGACAGTGAGTGTGTTTTATTATATATGAATGCAATCTCAATTTGATTAATGAAAGTTTTATGTATTTATATTGTAAAAAAGAAAGTTCAATTTCCTGAACTTTTTTGAATGAATTACAGAAATGTCGAGTCAAAATGTTCTTTGTAATAATAAAATCTTATTTAGATCAGTTTGAAAAAATCAAAAGTCTTCATCCTGAAATGACACCCCCAGTTATCTGGTCCTTTTCAAAGTGGCATTGTTCTTTTCATTGATACTTGCAAAGCTGTTTCTAAAATATATATGGAATATTACATCAGACTGGGAGCTACATGTATATATTGTCACACCTGTTTAAACAGTACATTTGAAAACTGGATGACACAGTGGTCTATTGTTTATAAAGAGACTGCAAAGAGTTAGAATTAACAAATGTTCTCTTTCTACTAATTTTGTAACTAAACATCCCCTGCATGTGTATGTATGCTTTTATGCCACCTCCGACATAGGAAAAGAAGCATGGGTTATACAAGAAAACATTGATTGAAGTGCTCACCTAATTAACCTAGCACGCAAATGTTACTCCAACAATGTTAGAGGTTTTACACGGCGAAAAACTTTTGACAGGCGCCGCAGTCGGCAAAATCATATCCGATAGAAAAAAGGACGACCAGCGGCCTGTTATGTTTTAGCAAACTAAATGTATGCTTTTTGTAGTCAACATTACCGTTTTATGCGACTTTGCTTTAATTTAATGAAAATTGAAAGCTGTGAAAATATAGCCCAATACAGCTATAATTCATAGGTGAATATAGATATATAGGTCTTTATAGCTCAATCGGCAGAGTGGACTGGACCTGTTCAATGTTGACGACTTGTATGCATGACTTAAAAAGGCGAGTTTTATATGGTTTACCTGTCCTGTATGTGTAACCACATCGGTATTAGGACCTTGGTCACTTGTGTGGCCTTTCAGGGTTTGGGATGTCACCGAAAAATGTCTAGCTGAAGCAATAGCCTTCTTCACGCCATTCAAAAGTCGGGGTGTCCTTGCCAAGGAAGCCATCTTGGAATAAGTGGGATTGCCTAAAATTAGAACCATCCGACTTTTCCGGAAAAAAGAATTTAGGCCTAGCAAAGATAAAAAAAAAATGGAATAACAGAAAATCAATATCTTTGGAAAAACTTGCCAGTGGCGGCAGCACTGTGAAATTTGTAATGCTGATTTGTAACAGTGTTATGCCTTTTTTATCTACTATATAAGTAATACTACTATTCATGTGTTGTAAAGCGCTTTAGAGTAATTTTACAAATTATATAGGGCGCTGTATAAATGTTGCATATTATCAGAGACGTCTCTGATATTATTATTCATTTCAATTTTGGAGACAGAATTTGCCGATATAATTGATAATTGATTTTGGTCCCACTAAATGTTTTCTTTTTCTTTTCTTTTTTGGGGGGTTAAAATTGGGGTCTAGAGCTCAAAACAGATGAAAGTGATACCCCCAGCTACGGCCATGCTCCAATTTTATTTGACAAACGGTACAATTTTACATACATATACCTCGATAATTAATTTTCATGGCCTGAAAACAGTTAAGTCTGACTCTACAACTGACATATACATGAAACATAAGGCCTTTATGGCATAAAGTCCATAGGACTTGGGGTGCTTTGTACCTGGACGAATTTCACGAGCGTTCTACTGAAGTTTTTCTAAAGAAAAGAATCTTGAGTTAATGGAGGGGGGCAAACTTCAGTAATGCTTTCTTATGGAAAATTTAGAGTTAGTATATCCTCGAAATTCCCGGATATATATATTTATACAATGTACAAAAACGAAAAAAAAACGTTACAAGCTAATAAACGAGAAAATAATTGACTCAAATTAATAGGACACACTTTCGACTTCAACCGTACCCATTTAGTGAAACACTATATAGCATACCTTGCTTTTCATGACATGAGGACGACAGAAATTTCAACAAATTAACAAACATTTTTTGTCAAGTATTAGGTTTTAAGAACACTTAGCACAAACAATATTCAAGAAATTATTGTTTTGCGGAATAAGATTTTAAATCTTTAAATATACCGATGAATTTTGCCAAAATTACTCTTAAACTTCAACTGTTACAATCAAAGAAATATATTTAAGTTATAACATAGACAATTCATGTTTGTTAAATTATCACTTGGCAAAGAATCTACCTGATATTTGGAGCCCTAGTCTATATAACGCCCTACTTTGAGCAACGCCCTATTTATAAAGAATCCCACACAATTTAATTAATAAAGGATGTCGAATTTCTGTTTAAGACCTACAAAACCCAGTATGTACTATCGCATGTGGTAACATATAACAGCGTTCACTTCTAGACCTCCCTCAACGATGACACTTCAAAATTTCCAATCATTGATAGCTCGATCAGGACGTGAAGAAACTGTCCATACAAAAAAGCGAAATTTCCAGAAACCAAAACCAAAACTCACACTGACTTCAACAGATACAATTAAGCATAGATCTGAAAAAGAAAACCAGATCGGCAGGCAAACAAGCATTCAATAAATTCTATCACCAACCCGAATTGGTTCTGGAACTACATAAACTAAGCGGCAGCACAGGCGTGTCACCGGATAGTATCACGAAGTCTGAGAATGCTACCAAAGCCAGTCCACTTAATAATCATCTGTCTTAAACAATAATTAAGACTTCTCTATAATCCCGGACAAAGGATAAAGCACCTTCACTGGCATGGAAAAGTTCATAGCGATTTTCTACGACCTCAAACCATATATACAAAGCATCAGGTCCAGACGACATCCCCACAACAGTACTAAAGGATGTTTCCACTGAGGTCACCACAGTCTTCACAATACTGTATCAGACTTCCATTGGGTCAGTAACCAATGGCTGCTGTCCTGCAGGGTCTCAAGAAAGGGAAGAGTAACAAACCAGTAAACTACCGTTATTTGTAGCGTGTTAAGTCATGGAGCACGTCGTTTTCAGTAGTACGAGGAAGCACCCCCGACAGACATCACGTCATCAACCTTGCTCGGCACGGCTTCCGGAAAAGTCATTCCTTCGAGACTCCCACATAATAAGCTCTAGGCGGACGTCATACTACTAGACATTATATTTTTTTTTACAAAGCGACAATCGCAAAACTTCTATTGAAACATAAGGTTGCTGAATTATGTCTAGGACATCCTACATGACCATATAATGCGGTTCCTTCTTCAAGAAGTAAATCCTGACTCGGTCCCAGCCCAATCCAGCGTGCCACAGGTAAGTGTGATCCGACTACCCTGTTCCTCCTCTTCAAAAACAACCTAGCAGAAGTTTTATCATTCAGAGTAAAAAAGTTTGATTTCTTGCTGAAAACTGCATGTGTCTTTTACCGGTACATCATAACTTAGTTATTTCGACTTCAGAAAGACCTGGGACATTCTCATATGGTGGAAGCAGGATTGAATGCTTGACATCATCTATTTGTGAAATCACGGAATTAGATTATGCTATCCAAGTCCGTGATGAAATGTTCTCCCAGCATCCCTCGCGGACTTTGTCTCTTTTACTATCATCAAGATGGAAGTACCGTGAGTGGTTCTCAGACAGACAATGATGTTTCGTATTCACTTCTCGTAATGCCACGGTCTGAGCACTGCTGTTTTCCGCCCTGAGCTTGACAAATTCCCGAGTACAGCGCCTATAGCCGTGAATATGTTTATTTTGACAAGGGTGAAAAATGGACACCTCTGGTTATTGAAAATCGAGATGGCTACATTTCTTGTTTACATAATACACAAAGAAACCCCAATAATATTTCCCCTCTGCATGAACCCAAGAGTCTGTCTGTATTAGCGTACTATTGGATTGATCTTGTGTGCAAAGGACCAACGCCTCTCGACGAAGGAAGTAAATGTGTGCAACTAAAGTTATATATATATAACATCAGAGATGGGTCAAAGAAGTAATATAGACGGTAAAATCCCATATAACACTGGATCCTAATGGAGGTATGTCCGTAGGATACGAATTAATAAAAATAGTATATGGGGCAAAGAAGTAATTCCAACAGTGGGGACAAGTTTAGGTTGTCAAATTTTCGGAGCGATCCGCTCCTTTATCAAGCCACAGTGAAACAGAACAGAAACATGTACATATACATCCTATTACAAGAAGATAACACCAGAGATGTATACTTTGTTGAACTCAACAGATAGAACAACACGTAGAACACACGGGTGTTTGACGTCTTAGAAGGCACGGATACGTTGTTGTGGACACAGACGGACGAGTTTATCTCTGTGACGCGGCCAAAGTGAACACTAGTTGTCTTGATGTGTTTCCAAGGCTGGTGTAGAACACTGCACTACCAGGACTCTTGAACCAAAAGGTAAGCCAATGCTTTTTCAGTCAAACTTGCTCCGTGTTGCACACGCCGAGGGAAACACTGTTGACGTTAAGGGGTAACTTGTCCGCTTTCTGCACCGACAAACTAAATTTTAAATAAGTGCTTCCTTACTTACTATTCCTACTAATTGGAGGCAGCATTCGTTAATGTATTTTTCTAATATTTTCTCACCTTCGTTATGCATTTCATCATAATACCCGCACATGTGTTGATTGTTTCTTTATAAAAAAAAAGAAATGCATTGACAACGTTGATCGTATATACATGTGTCCTGACGAAATACCATTACTAGGAATACAAAGTTAACAAGCACCTATTAAAACTTGGTTTGTCGACGCAGAAAAACTAAAGTGAAAGGTGCACGTTAGAGTTAATGAAAATATAACAAATCTACAACCTTTGCCTACAAAATACGATTTTAGCTTAAGCTAGTATTCCATGTAAACCGTGCTGGAATAAATTCCAGATATAAGGTTACGGCCACCATAGTCTACCATTAAAATACGGCCAACCTCGGGGACCAATAGTCTACCAGTAAAATACGGCCAACCTCGGAAACCCATAGTCTACCAGTAAAATACGGCCAACCTCAAGGACCAATAGTCTTCCAGCAGAGTACGGTCAACCTCTGGGACCCATAGTCTACCAATAAAATACGGCCAACCTCAGGGACCCATAGTCTTCCAGCAGAGTACGGCCAACCTTGGGGACCCATAATCTAACAGTAAAATACGGCCAACCTCTGGGACCCATAGTCTTTCAGCAGAGAACGGCCAACCTCGGGGACCCATAGTCTAACAGTAAAATACGGCCAACCTCAGGGATCCATAGTCTACCAGTAAAATACGGCCAACCTCGGGGACCCATAGTCTACCAGTAAAATGCGGCCAACCACAGGGACCCATAGTTCACCAGCAGAGTATGTCCAACCTCGGGGACCCATAGTCTACCAGTAAAGTACGGCCAATCTCGGGAACCCATAGTCTACCAGTAAAATACGGCCAAACCTCGGGGACCCATAGTCTACCAGTAAAATACGGCAAACCTCGGGGACCCATAGTCTACCAGTAAAATGCGGCCAACCTCAGGGACCCAAAGTCTTCCAACAGAGTACGGCAAACCGCGGAGACCCATAGTCTATTAACAGAGTACGGCCAACCTCGGGGACCCATAGTCTACCAGCAGAGTATGTCCAACCTCGGGAACCCATAGTCTACCAGTAAAGTACGGCCAATCTCGGGAACCCATAGTCTACCAATAGAGTACGGCCAACGTCGGGGACCCATTGTCCACCAGCAGAGTACGGCCAATCTCGGGGACCCATAGTCCATCAGCAGAGTATGTTCAATCTCGGGGACCCACAGTCCAACAGCAGAGTACGGCCAATTTTGGGGACCCATAGTCCACCAGCAGAGTACGGCCAACCTCGAAGACCCATAGTCCACCAGCAGAGAACGGCCAACCTAGAGGACCCATAGTTCACTAGCTGAGTACGGCCAACGCTGGGAACCCATAGTCCACCAGCAGAGTACGGCCAACCTCGAGGACCAATAGTCCACCAGCAGAGTACGGCCAACCTCGAAGACCCATAGTCCACCAGCAGAGAACGGCCAACATCGAGGACCCATACTCCACTCAGCAGAGTGCGGCCAACCTCGGGGACCCATAGTACACCAGCAGAGTACGGCCAACCTCGGGGACTAATTGTCCACAAGCAGAGTACGGCCAACCTCGGAGACCCATTTCCACCAGCAGAGAACTGCCAACCTCGGGGACTGATAGTCCACCAGCAGAGTACGGCCAATCTCGGGGACCCATAGTCCACCAGCAGAGTACGGCCAACCTCGGGGACCCATAGTCCACCAGCAGAGTACGGCCAACCTCGGGGACCCATAGTCCATTAGCTGAGTACGGCCAACGCTGGGGACCCATAGTCCACCAGCAGAGTACGGCCAACCATGAGGACCCATACTCCACTCAGCAGAGTGCGGCCAACCTCGGGGACCCATAGTACATGTATAACAGCAGAGTAGGGTCAACATTGGGGACTCATAGTCTACCAGCAGAGTAGAGCCAACCTCAGGGACCCATTGTCCACCAGTAGAGTACGGCTACCCGTAGTCCACAAACAGAGTACGGCCAACCTCGGGGACCCATTGTCCACTAGTAGAGTACGGCTACCCGTAGTCCACAAACAGAGTACGGCCAACCTCGGGAGCCCATAGTCTACCGGCAGAGTACTTCCAACCTCGGGGACCCGTAGTCTACCGGCAGAGTACGGCCAACCTCTGGGACCCATAGTCCACCAGCAGAGTACGGCTAACCTCGGGAGCCCATAGTCCACCAGCAGAGTACGGCCAACCTCGGGGACCCGTAGTGCACCGGCAGAGTACGACAAACCTCGGAGACTCATAGTCCACCAGCAGAGTACGGCCAACCTCGGAGACCCATAGTCTACCGGCAGAGTACGGCCAACCTCGGGGACCCATAGTCTACCGGCAGAGTACGGCCAACCACGGGGACCCATAATCCACCAGCAGAGTACGGCCAACCTCGGAGACCCATTGTCCACAAGCAGAGTACGGCAAACCTCGGGGACCCATCGTCCACCAGCAGAGCCAACCACATTATTACATAAGACAGTAATTAGAAATACGAAGTAATGGTAGAACTATTTAAAATATAGTTTGTCAATGCAGAACTTGACACTACAGACTCTTGTACATCAGCCACCTTTTGGATTTAACTAATAACATGGCCAACATTGGACGGTTTATTACTAAACTGTACGTTAGGCCTGGCGATTCTGAAATTTCTGTCGTGAACTTTCCTTTATTGATAGTAACATCCCTGATTCCACATGCTACGGTGTCTACATGTCTGCTGATTCGGTATTCAAGAATTTGCTCCTAATATCATGATTTTCGCGATAGATGTCGACCAACAGACAAACTTTCAACACAAGGTTATCAGAGATGCGGGTTGATGAAGATTAAGAACAAGTTATACAATGGCCTTCATGATCTCGTTGTAAAATATGCTATTTGTTTTTTGTGTGCTATGAGGGGTGATGGTTTTGATCATGTCCATTATGTGGCTAGAATACCCGGGTTATCGGTTTGAAGACGGAACTTTACCGATATTCCATGGCAGGTGCAGCAGAGAAAGCTTACTCTTCCGGAACGCTTGTACTTTTTCAATGGTTACATTTAAATCTTTTCTTTGTTTATATATCGATTTAGTTTTATGGATATTCACCTAGTGTAGAGATATTTACTTCGTGTGGAGAAATTCAAAGTTTAGATATATTCACTTTGTATTGGCACATATTCACTATATATACGCTTTTTATAGAGATATATTCACATTGTAGAGATTATGAAATGTGTATGGCGATATATACACTTTGTTTGGAGACATATAACATGGTATTGATATATACACTTTGTATGGCGAGATATACATTTTGTATAGAGATATACACTTTGGATGCAGATGTATCCAAAAAAAATACATTGCACTGCAATTTCACTATGTTAGCAAATGAAATCGTGTATTGGGTCATACATATTATAAACCGAAAGTGAGTAGTAATACGAACGTGACAAAAACAAACAAACACAGGGAACTCATGTTTGACTTTCTTTTGGGATTTTTGAAAAAATCTGTCGCAGAAAAAAGGCACGTGCTATAGGGCTGTACTGCATTGGACAATCATATCGCCTATGGATTTCATCTGAAAGCAGCTTTAATGCTGAAATGTACACGTGTGTTAAAATATATACACTTATGTGTGTACATGTGTAATTTTTGTGGAGGTATATACGCTTTCTTTGCATGTATAGAATTTGTATGGAGATGTACATGTGTTGCTTTGAAATATATCGTGTGGAACTTCGTCGTGAGCAAAAACTTCGTCCAGAGATGTGAACTTCGTGTGAAATATAATTTGCCTTTGCCTAGAGATATACATTTTATTTTGAAATGTACATTTTGTGTGGAGATTTACATACGTTGTGTGAAGATAAACCCACTTTGTGTTGACATATAAACACTTTGCGATGAAATATGTATATTGTGTTTGGAAATGTACACTTTATAGGATTCATGTGTAAAAAGTTTGGCCCAACGTATTAAAGACCGGTAGATAAGTACAAACACGATTTATTTAGGTGTATGGTCTTGATCATACGTGCATTAGTGAACGGTATTGGGTAGTTTAAATGGACCTCTACTTTGACGAACTTACTCACAAGTCCGGTATTTAATAAACGTAATTTTATTTCATAATGATCGATGATGATGATGATGATGATGATGATGATGATGATGATGATGACGATGATGATGATGACGATGATGATGATGATGATGATGATGAAACAATATACACAATTACATAGTCTATCTCAAGTGAAATATTTAGTTATATATTGATATGTAGATACCCTACAATGTTCTACTTTAATTTCCATGCAACCGAAAACACTTTCACAACCTCCTGTCCCGGTTTAACTCGTCGAATTGACACAGCAGTGATTGGTCGTGAGGAATACGAGTATAAGAAAGAGCGTTAACGAAGTGTTAAACGGGCATTCCGACTGGCTGTTAGTCCTGTTTGCACGAATGGCGACACCACGTACGTCAGCTACCATACGCTAGATGTGAAGATCGTCACTATTACATCTGTTCAGGTTCTTCGTCAATGGATTCCAGAGTCCATTCTGTCCGTTTTGCACAAGGGAATTTACTTTCCGCATCATGGGCTTCGTCGATAATATTAGATTTGAGACACTCGATGACACTCTGCTTTGTGTCTTCTTGTTTTGTCGCGGGTTTCACGCGCCTGTTTCTATGCCATATAAGAATTACGAATCCAATGCTAAATCCAACAAGAACGGTGGCACTAAGAACCTGCAAAACTAATTTAACGCTCTCGTCTGCTTTATGTTCCCTCATCGTTACAGCAGGATAGCCAGACTCAATACCAACGCTTAGAACTGCAACCATACTGCGTCCTACGGCAGACTTTTCTTTGGCCTAAAAAACACACAGAAAATAACAACCTGACTACAAAATCCTATAAATTACCTCAGATATACATATTTATTACAAACAAATTCATAAATGGCTTATGTTATTGATATTAATTATTCGCAATTTAGAATAACTGCAAGACTTCTAGCCGATCTCTAAATGAATTCTAATGAAGCCTAATTGATACGATTATATGATTTAATAAACTATATGTGTTTAATCCTACTCTTTCTATACGAAGTATACATTTGTGATGTTTTGTCCTCGAATAACAAGAAAGGATAACTTGCTGCTAGAAATAAACGATACATTAAATCACTCTTCATCAGTTTTACATCTCGAGTAATCATTATTTAATTATGAAAGGGTGTAAAAGGTACCTACAGCAAGAAAGTTATGGTTAACACATGAGCAAACTCTATACAAGTGACTTACAGTAAGCCAATAATAGTCACCTTGTTATCAAACTCTGTTCAAGTCACTTACAGTAAGCCAATATTAGTCACCTTATTATCAAACTCTGTACAAGTCACTTACAGTAAGCCAATAATAGTTCTTCATCAGTTTTACATCTCGAGTAATCATTATTTAATTATGAAAGGGTGTAAAAGGTACCTACAGCAAGAAAGTTATGGTTAACACATGAGCAAACTCTATACAAGTGACTTACAGTAAGCCAATAATAGTCCCCTTATTATCAAACTCTGTTCAAGTGACTTACAGTAAGCCAATAATAGTCCCCTTATTATCAAACTCTATACAAGTGGCTTACAGTAAGCCAATAATAGTCACCTTGTTATCAAACTCTGTTCAAGTCACTTACAGTACGCCAATAATAGTCACCTTATTATCAACCTCTATACAAGTGACTTACAGTAAGCAGATAATAGTCACCTTATTATCAAACTCTGTACAAGTCACTTACAGTAAGCCAATAAAAGTCACCTTATTATCAAACTCTGCTCAAGTCACTTACAGTAAGCCAATATTAGTCACCTTATTATCAAACTCTGTTCAAGTCACTTACAGTACGCCAATAATAGTCACCTTATTATCAACCTCTATACAAGTGACTTACAGTAAGCCAATAATAGTCCCCTTATTATCAAACTCTGTTCAAGTGACTTACAGTAAGCCAATAATAGTCCCCTTATTATCAAACTCTGTTCAAGTGACTTACAGTAAGCCAATAATAGTCTCCTTATTATCAAACTCTATACAAGTAACTTACAGTAAGCAAATAATAGTCACCTTATTATCAAACGCTGTTCAAGTCACTTACAGTAAGCCAATATTAGTCACCTTATTATCAAACTCTGTTCAAGTCACTTACAGTAAGCCAATAAAAGTCACCTTATTATCAAACTCTGCTCAAGTCACTTACAGTAAGCCAATAATAGTTCTTCATCAGTTTTACATCTCGAGTAATCATTATTTAATTATGAAAGGGTGTAAAAGGTACCTACAGCAAGAAAGTTATGGTTAACACATGAGCAAACTCTATACAAGTGACTTACAGGAAGCCAATAATAGTCACCTTATTATCAACCTCTATACAAGTGACTTACAGTAAGCGAATAATAGTCACCTTATTATCAAACTCTGTTCAAGACACTTACAGTAAGCCAATAATAGTCACCTTACTATCAAACTCTATACAAGTGACTTACAGGAAGCCAATAATAGTCACCTTATTATCAACCTCTATACAAGTGACTTACAGTAAGCAGATAATAGTCACCTTATTATCAAACTCTGTACAAGTCACTTACAGTAAGCCAATAAAAGTCACCTTATTATCAAACTCTGCTCAAGTCACTTACAGTAAGCCAATAATAGTTCTTCATCAGTTTTACATCTCGAGTAATCATTATTTAATTATGAAAGGGTGTAAAAGGTACCTACAGCAAGAAAGTTAGTGTTAACACATGAGCAAACTCTATACAAGTGACTTACAGTAAGCGAATAATAGTCACCTTATTATCAAACGCTATACAAGTGACTTACAGTAAGCCAACAATAGTCACCTTATTATCAAACTCTGTTCATGTCACTTACAGTAAGCCAATAATAGTTCTTCATCAGTTTTACATCTCGAGTAATCATTATTTAATTATGAAAGGGTGTAAAAGGTACCTACAGCAAGAAAGTTAGTGTTAACACATGAGCAAACTCTATACAAGTGACTTACAGTACGCCAATAATAGTCTCCTTATTATCAAACTCTATACAAGTGGCTTACAGTAAGCCAATAATAGTCACTTTATTATCAAACTCTGTTCAAGTCACTTACAGTACGCCAATAATAGTCACCTTATTATCAACCTCTATACAAGTGACTTACAGTAAGCCAACAATAGTCACCTTATTATCAAACTCTATACAAGTGGCTTACAGTAAGCCAATAATAGTCACCTTACTATCAAACTCTATACAAGTGACTTACAGTACGCCAATAATAGTCTCCTTATTATCAAACTCTATACAAGTGGCTTACAGTAAGCCAATAATAGTCACTTTATTATCAAACTCTGTTCAAGTCACTAACAGTAAGCCAATATTAGTCACCTTATTATCAAACTCTGTACAAGTCACTTACAGTAAGCCAATAATAGTTCTTCATCAGTTTTACATCTCGAGTAATCATTATTTAATTATGAAAGGGTGTAAAAGGTACCTACAGCAAGAAAGTTAGTGTTAACACATGAGCAAACTCTATACAAGTGCCTTACAGTAAGCCAATAATAGTCACTTTATTATCAAACTCTGTTCAAGTCACTTACAGTAAGCCAATATTAGTCACCTTATTATCAAACTCTGTTCATGTCACTTACAGTAAGCCAATAATAGTCACCTTATTATCAAAATCTATGGCAAACGTGACATACTTTAAGCACTTAAATACTAAAACATATTTGTTTAAAATGTTTTGAATTAAGACTTTTGATTAAAGGTTCGAAATATTGCCCCTGTTTGATAAGTCTATCATCTTTATGTATTTTGTTATATCAATTATTTTTTACGTGATATTATAAATTGTGGTTCCAGTTCTGACCTGGATAATGAAGGTGTAGTCCCGAGGATCACCGGAGGACATGTTAGACGTCTTGTTGATGGTATTTGTTAACATGTCAACAGCAAAGAACTTACTGAAATCGGGTGGATTACCTGCAAAACAGAACGGAGTATGATGTGTGTCCTAAGCCTTTGTAATGTCGTATTACGAAATATAGAACTGACATATTTTGAAAAAGCCTTGAAATTCTCCATGTTGATGTAAATATATAAAAATAAAGACATAGTATACACATGCATGATGCTTGAATTTGTAATCAATTGTCTTTGCAAATCATCTCGCGAAATTTTATTTGTAGAATAACACTAGTGAAAAGAACCTTTCTAAATGGTAATCCTTGCTATATTTGTATAATGGTATTATTTGCTAGTAGTTTTTGGGAAAATATATAAAGTAAAATATTCAGAAATAATCAAATATACAACGAGTGAGAAACAGCTTTGTTTTGTCATATGAGATGGACAAAGTAGTTTTTTAACACGATTGTTTAATCACATCTTACCATGTAGGAAGGATAACACGATGTCGTTGTTCGTGACGAAGTCTCCGTCAGTAACAAACATGCCGCTCGGATGTGTCGTCAACGGACCCTACTTATAAAAGTAGACTTTCAACAAAGTGTAACCCTTCAGGTATTTCACTCTCTAATGAATATTTAAGTAGTAACAGAAATGTTTTGAAGAAATACAGTAGTAATAGTCCAGGGAATAGGACGTAGTATACAATAAAAGGACAGCTAATTAATTCTTAACGAGACAATCACCATTTCTCTTTTATATATATACAAGGATTATGTATCCAAACTCCAACATACATTGTCCTTCTAAATGAGTTGTTGTTATCAATATGACCGATCTGTACTTACGATGTATTCTTCATGCGCAGACGCAGTAAAGGCGGGAAGAAGACATGTGCTATCAGCGGTCTGACTGAACGAAGGACCATTGTCGTCGTCATCAACAGCAGTCAAATTCAGCGTCACAGACTCCATAGTTTGTGACTAAAGTGAAACAGATCAATTTGTTTATGTCAGACTTTAGATATGTCACATGATAACAAAAACCTGCATTTTCGGGAAAATGAATATAAGCCTTCTGTAACCCAATGCATGATAGTATGAGGCAATTTGTATGGGTAATGGGCGAATTTAGAGTTCTCTTCGATGATCTCTAATTGTGAACACGGAAAGAATAAACGGTTACTCCAAATGCAACATTTGCGAGCTCTACATTCACCCTCCCTCCAGTTTATCCTTTCCTTTCGTTGGTGTCTCACTACAAACTTCTGGCTAGTCTGTCAGAATAATGTGAACTAGGGGATGTTATACAACGTAGGCAAAGGAATGAAGCATTTTATAATTTTTAGATACATTGTGGTGATATAGTGATATTTCATTTATGGTTAAGAATTTGATGTCAGAGACAATGGTAGAACATTATATACGTTGTACTACTTCTTTGTTTCTAATGCATCAAACTTTCAAACTTACAGTGACATGGCAAAACCACAACTGAAATTACAATGTCTGGCGTTATGAGGTTGTATACATTTTTGACGTGACACCATTTTATTGTCCTTTGCGTCACTTGTACATGATCAGAAACACTAACATTTACATGTGTTTTCACACTTACATCGTTTGTACAGGATACAGTCAACTGAATGTCCATCGTGGTAATATTCTGTAGAACAAAAGAGTTCCGTGAGACTAACGCACTCAACATGTTATTTGTAATGATCTATTACAGATAGAATAATCATGATTTTACGTTAATAATGGTCTCTATTTAATCCTTCAATGAAATGATTTAATTTCTGAATGAAGAATCCCTTAAATATTAAATTGTAGTTGAACTTCTCAAAATAATGGAACAAGTACTGTAATCATTTGTAGTATAAACAACTTATATCTAATCACTTATATCTAATCACTTATATCTAATCACTTAACGTCATAATTTAGAAATATCACATTTACTGTACTGCAACGCTTACAGTAATAAATATAAGAAATATCTCACCTTAAGTCACGATAATTTAAAATATATTTAACATTTTATTTATTAATAAATAACAACTACCTAAAACCGTTATTTGAATCCTTGCCGTATTACATATAAAATCTGTCTTTAATGGATTTGAAATCTGATTTCCACATGTGAATCACCTATACTCGCGAGAAATATGCTCTCATGTTATATAGCGAGAAATAGATCGCTCAATCGTGAGAACTAGATTGCTATATCACTAAACATATCGAGGTATTTACCGTTAGAGGAAGTTAGTTGTAGAATTTCATATTTACTATATTGGATCAATTACTGTAATACATTGTAGTAATATAACATTTACTGAAGTGAACTACTAACTGTATTAAGGTAGACGGTCTCTACGTCCAATGGATGCTGCAGTTCTAGTAGTATTTGTGTTGCGTTGTTTCTATTAAATTGAAAATATCCGCCCAGTCTGTTCACGAATTCAGGGGGATTGATGATGCTGACATCAAAGATTAACGATGAGTCGGTTATCAACGACAAAAGACATGTTCCTGAAATTATAACAAATATAACAACTATAACAAAGTGTTATCGGAGTTGTTTTCCGTATGTTTGCGTGGTTCATGTGTTGGCTTGGTGCATGCTTATTTGTTTTCAACTAAACGAAAATTATGAATAGTGATAATAACATGTAAAACAACCCTAAGTTAAAACATCTAATCAGTTAATACTTGTATTCATGATTTCAAGTTATATGCGGGTTTATCGTCTTTGATAGAAGATTATAAATGCGCGTGCCAGCGCCAATGCTACCTAACTGCATTAGTGGTCAGTTAACACTGACATGACGTTGACATGCACATTTTGGCATTCGTCAGTCGACGTAAAAGTTACACAAATGTCTTAATAGTGCTTATATAATGTATAAACGATTTACCTGCCGGGTCGGTCTCATAAACGCACGTGGGTATGATCTGTGCTAGGGCGTCGGGACAGGTGTGGACGACGTGATGGGCTATATGTTAGTAACACAAAACATATAGGTTTTCAGTGAAGCATACATTGGCAAACATTCTGTACTGTTCTTTTGAAGCACTGTTTCGTTACATCTATTTACCAGTTGAATTTGACCGATGGTAGGTTACAATTCTAGCAACAATATAACAAGTAGGATGTAAAAGGGACGTTTGTAATGACTGTTTCATACCATATGTACTTCTCGGGTTTCATTATATCGTTCATAAAATAATAGCAGTAAAGATTGAAATGTTATTATGAGTAATGCGCTCAGCTTACAAACAATATATACATCAGTTACCTGTACTGGCACACCTGCTGGAACACGTGGTGGAGGTAACCATGGACGGCCTGAGAACTGTAGGTAAAGATGTGTTATCAAATAATATTTTTTTAAATAAACATAAATATAAATACGTTATTGCATTCCAATGAGAACTAAAATAGAAGCAGAACTATTTAGATATGACGGCAAGCATTATATTTTCCCCTGTGTTGTAATGCTATATTTTCCCTTGTGTTGTAATGCTATATTTTCCCTCGTGTGTTGATGCTATATTTTGTCCTTGTGTGTTGATGCTATATTTTCCCTTGTGTTGTAATACTGTCTTTTCCCTCATGTGTTGATGCTATATTTTCCCTTGTGTTGTTATACTATATTTTCCCTTGTGTTGTAATGCTGTATTTTCCCTTGTGTTGTAATGCTATATTTTCCCTCGTGTTGTAATGCTGTATTTTGTCCTTGTGTGTTGATGCTATATTTTGTCCTTGTGTTGTAATGCTGTATTTTCCCTCGTGTTGTAATGCTATATTTTCCTTCGTGTGTTGATGCTATATTTTGTCCTTGTGTGTTGATGCTATATTTTCCCTCGTGTGTTGATGCTATATTTTGTCCTTGTGTGTTGATGCTATATTTTGTCCTTGTGTTGTAATGCTGTATTTTCCATCGTGTGTTGATGCTATATTTTGTCCTTGTGTTGTAATGCTGTATTTTCCATCGTGTGTTGATGCTATATTTTTCCTTGTGTTGTAATGCTATATTTTCCCTCGTGTGTTGATGCTATATTTTGTCCTTGTTTTGTAATGCTGTATTTTCTATCGTGTGTTGATGCCATATTTTCCCTTGTGTTGTAATGCTGTATTTTCCCTCGTGTGTTGATGCTATATTTTGTCCTTGTGTGTTGATGCTATATTTTGTCCTTGTGTTGTAATGCTATATTTTCCCTCGTGTGTTGATGCTATATTTTGTCCTTGTGTGTTGATGCTATATTTTGTCCTTGTGTTGTAATGCTATATTTTTCGTTGTGTGTTGATGCTATATTTTGTCCTTGTGTGTTGATGCTATATTTTGTCCTTGTAATGCTTCATTTCCATCGTGTGTTGATGCTATATTTTTCCTTGTGTTGTAATGCTGTATTTTCCCTCGTGTGTTGATGCTATATTTTGTCCTTGTGTTGTAATGCTGTATTTTCCATCGTGTGTTGATGCTATATTTTGTCCTTGTGTTGTAATGCTGTATTTTCCATCGTGTGTTGATGCTATATTTTCCCTTGTGTTGTAATGCTATATTTTCCCTCGTGTGTTGATGCTGTATTTTCCTTCGTGTGTTGATGCTATATTTTGTCCTTGTGTGTTGATGCTATATTTTTCCTCGTGTGTTGTGATGTTATATTTCTCCTGGTGTTGTGATGTTATATTTTCCCTTGTGTTGTAATGCTGTATTTTCCCTTGTGTTGTAATGCTATATTTTTCCTCGTGTTGTAATGCTATATTTTCCCTTGTGTTGTAATGCTGTATTTTGTCCTTGTGTGTTGATGCTATATTTTCCCTTGTGTTGTAATGCTATATTTTCCCTTGTGTTGTAATGCTGTATTTTCCCTTGTGTTGATGCTATATTTTTCCTCGTGTGTTGTGATGTTATATTTCTCTGGTGTTGTGATGTTATATTTTCCCTTGTGTTGTAATGCTGTATTTTCCCTTGTGTTGATGCTATATTGTGTGTTGATGCTTTATTTTTCCTGGTGTTGGGATGCTATATTTTTCATGGTGTTGTGATGTTATATTTTTACTCGTGTTGTGATGCTTTATTTTTCGTTGTATGTTGATGCTATATTTTTCGGTGTGTGTTGATGCTATTTTTTTCCTCGTGTTGCAATGCTATATTTTCCCTTGAGTTGTAATGCTGTATTTTCACTTGTCTTGTAATGCTATATTTTCCCTTGAGTTGTAATGCTGTATTTTCACTTGTGTTGTAATGCTATGTTTTCCCTTGTGTTGATGCTATGATGCTATATTTTGTCCTTGTGTTGTGATGCTATATATATCCTGGTGTTGTGATGTTATATTTTTCCTCGTGTTGTGATGCTATATTTTTCCTGGTGTTGTGATGCTATATTTTTCCTGGTGTTGTGATGTTATATTTTTCCTCGTGTTGTGATGCTTTATTTTTCCTGGTGTTGTGATGCTATATTTTTCCTGGTGTTGTGATGCTATATTTGTCCTGGTGTTGTGATGTTATATTTTTCCTTATGTTGTGATGCTATATTTTTCCTGATGTTGTGATGTTATATTTTTCCTGGTGTTGTGATGCTATATTTTTCCTGGTGTTGTGATGCTATATTTTTCCCGGTGTTGTGATGCTATATTTTTCCTCGTGTTGTGATGTTATATTTTTCCTGGTGTTGTGATGCTATATTTATCCTGGTGTTGTGATGCTATAATTTTCCTTATGTTGTGATGCTATATTTTTCCTGGTTTTGTGATGCTATATTTATCCTGGTGTTGTGATGTTATATTTTTCCTGGTGTTGTGATGCTATATTTTCCTGGTGTTGTGATGCTATATTTTTCCTGGTGTTGTGATGCTATATTTTTCCTGGTGTTGTTATATTTTTTCTGGTGTTGTGATGCTATTTTTTCACTTGTTTGTTGACGCGTTGGTATCTGTCCTTGTGTGTTGACGCTGCGGTATGTTTTGTCCTCACGTAATTACGCCGTGCTTTATTTTGTCCCTGTAAGTTGAAGTTATATTTTTTATTCACATTCTGGCTACACCAGACGATTGAGTATTATCAATATAACTTGGCAGTGTAATGATGAATGCTGCAAAAAGTAAATTGATTGAACATAACTTTTCAACAAGTAGAACAGGATGTGTCACGTTACAGACAACCATTAATAATTCAACCGATGTTCCTAGTCGATATAAATGTACTCACGTATAACACTATCAAGCATGCTCTGATACAAACGGACCCAATACAATCATTGCAGCACCATGGTCCACTTAATGGCACCACATGCAAGGTACCTCTTTGTATAATCGTTTACAATATAAGCAGCAGGAGTTGTATCGGAACAAATAAAACATGTATAAAACTTGCAATGAAGTGTAGATTATCCGAATAAAATGATACAAATGAGAAACCGGCAAACACTTGATCACGAAATATTGACTTCTATCTTATCCTGATACACAGACGTAGGTGCCCAGTTTATTATATGAACACAGTCGTTCCACGGATATAACAATCACAACATTGACGATTGGAGAAATGAAAAGTTAACAACGAGTGAAATTATATATATTCATCAAACAGAGTGATATGAATTGTATAAGTAACACATATGAACCTAACTAATAATACACTCCCAGAAAAGTTATACTGAGGTCAAAGGAATATACTGGTGTCCGAGGTATGTACTGGTGTCAGAGGTATGTACTGGTATCAGAGGTATGTACTGGTGTCAGAGGTATGTACTGGTGTCAGAGGTATGTACCGGTGTCACAGGTATGTACTGGTGTCAGAGGTATGTACTGGTGTCAGAGGTATGTACCGGTGTCAGAGGTATGTACTGGTGTCAGAGGTATGTACTGGTGT